GGCTATGGTTCTAAAGCGGAAGGCTATGGTTCTAAAGCGGAAGGCTATGGTTCTAAAGCGGAAGGCTATATTCTAGCTCGAATTCTCATCTCATTGATTCAAATTGAATTTTCAGCGGATTTTCAAGACTGGATTTTCGAAAATCGAGTAGTGCGAGAACATCTGTTTTCTAAAAAATACTACTTTTTAGGAGTCTGAAACAAAATAAAGTAAAACAATAATAACACAAAATTGAAGCAAGATTCAGAAGCTATGAAATTGATATTTTTTTAAATATAGTGGAGGCATCTAGTGTATTCGCCGACACACCTTTGTTGTAGTTTTATAACCAACGAGAGAATGACGGCCACTACGCTACAGGGTAAGATAGTAATAGCGAAATTATTGTCAGCTACTGTAACGTGGAGTTGAGGTCCAGGATGGCAATCCTAGACATTTGCACAATGCTATTTGCGTTGGTGTGTTTTGCTTATTCGACTCATCCACAAATCTAAAGGTGCAAGCACGGAGACTAGTCTGGTTGTCCACACTATACAGCAATTGTTTGTTCGCTTTAGTATTTGTCTAGGCACTTGCATCGTATTTTATGCTGCGTGTTGCCAACATTTTTTTTTACGTCCGCACACGATGGTCTGCAGTGACAGTTAAATGGACTAAGCACAAATATGAAGTTGAGCTGAACACAAATGAGACACCGTTGGTGTTCAAAGTTCAGCTCTTCGCCTTGACTGGTGTTGAACCTGAGCGTCAGAAGGTTATGCTCGCGGGTAAGAAACTAGAGGTAAGCTTACTCCTCCGTAATAGTTGTTCAGTCAGTGGTTTTCTGACCAATGTTGTCACTCCGCTTTTAGCCTTGCTTTTGGTGAAGTCCAATAGTTGTATTCGTGTGTACGAAGTTGCTATATTTAATTAATTAAGCTTTTTTAAGTACGCACATTGCGAGTAACTATAGAACCCTAATATTCAATTGCTGTGAATATGTCGTTCATACCTTAATACTGCTGCACCTATTTTGGTATTTCGTAGGACGATGACGATTGGACCAAGTTCCGTCTGAAGAATGTATGTTAGATATTTATATTTGCGCTGTGAGAATTTACGTCCAGCTTCGTAAATCCAACACAATATCGTCATAAACAGCAGTGGCTGATGCACAAATCAAATATATGCTTTACTTGCTACTTAGATAACGCATGAGTGAAGTGGCAATTCATCAGCCTCCTTGTTTATTGTTGAAAGGGTCTCTTATCATAGTAGGCCTTTTTGAATACTGTCACCGTTCGTGAAACAATACGCACACACACATACACACACATATA